ATGACAAAGAAAAGGTCATCTGACATTACAGGAACATATATAAAAGAGGGGAAAGTCTATATTATTCATGTTCTAGCTTTAATATAATCTTAAAACCGGACAGGATTAATAGGATTAAGAAAAAAGCCTCGGAGTGAAACTGATTATTTCTAGGATTATTTTTCTTACCTGCTCGCTGCTCTCATGGGTCATGCTGGAAGCACATTTTAACTCCTTTAACCCATCGATACGTTTTCCCAACCCTCCTGAGCAGGTGGAAATTGTTTTGAAAAGTTCCCACTGACTTTATACCCAATCCACAAACAACTCTACAGCTTTGACTTGCACTTTTGCATCTGTCAGCGTGTGTAAGTGCTTCTAATGGATGAACAATTTAGTCACACTGCTGCTTTGTCTTGCTCTCTGTCTAGACTGGTGGGTAAGAATGTTTTTCAAACATCTCCAGCACTCATCAAGACCCCACAGAGGCCACCAGTTCACTGTGGCGAGCTGTGTTTAAAAGGATGTCAGTCCTGTAACCCCTCCAGATGAATCACAGGGCCCCGGTGGCAGTAAATGTCTGTTTAAACACCAAACGCTTTAGTGCAAGGTGAAGGTTGATGTAATTGCTCATGGGAGCTGCGGAGGGACAGACGAGAATAATGTCTTGACATTTTAACCCCACCCTCATTGCGTCCACCAGTCATGCTGTCATCAAAGTGGGGAAGCTGCCGAGAAATGCTAAAGACAATTTCCTACAGTCTCACAACTGTGTCATATACAAGCATATAGGAGGGACAGAGAGAGAGAGATGTTCAGGGATTGTTTTTCCCAGGATGGGACCGATGGGATGCCTTTTTAGTTGCATTGCTTTCAGATCTCAACTTCTCAAGGGCTTCATTTCTTAGAAATCACTTGCAGGTGTGTTTAGATGTAGCCCCAGGAAGAAGAACGACTGAATGAATTTTATGCACAAATACCACAGTAGAGTTACCACATCCTGAAGTGCTTTATCACTGGTGCAATTTGCATACCACACAGTCAGCTATGCGTTGAGTAATTTCTGATCTATTATTGATGAAAAATGAAATCAGCATGCCTAAAGTGGGACTCAATGAAGTGGTACCCGTCATCCACATTCCATTATATGTGGCCAGAATGGAAATCTAAAAGGATATTTGCGTCGAGTAATTCAGGCTGGGACTTGATATTAATTTTTCATAAGCCCCATGGGACAAACACAAAGCTATGCCGAATATGTATTTGCTACTCTCTAAACGTATTGGCTAAATCACTGTTATTATCTTACGCCTATCAGGAGTTTGTACCTGCTAACACAAAATCCAATCAGGGCAGGCTGATCTGTCACAGCATAGGTAAACCAGTTCTTTAGACGTGTAGAGATGCAGCAGGACCTGCATCCTTTTTTATTACATGCACACTTCTTTTTTGTGTCACAACCCAGCTCATAGCTAGTGACACATAAGGCAAGACAAGACAGGCTAAGATGCCGTTTATGAGAAAAGATTAGGACAAAGAACAACAAACACGAGGATGAGTAAGAATGTGGTGGTGGTGACAATGGAAAGCAAATTACAAACAAGCAACAAACCAGGAGGTGGAGATTTTAGGAAGGAGTCACAATATTACTGACTGGAACAAATGATGAGTTAAGACCCTCTTCTGAGGGCGTTTATCATAGTTCATCATAGCTCACGTAAAAATAACTGCAGTAAAAGTGATAATAAATGTCTTTTTTTTATTATTTTCTGACATTGTCTGCTAATGTGTTTTTTCCAACTTGTCTACTGGAGACACTCGAGGCTACAACGACAACAAGTTTAAATTTCCAGCATTGTTTTTATCATTATGTTACAGTGCGCTCACACAGAGGCGTGTCGTGAAAAATGAGACTTGTCTCACTGAAATTGGACAATAAGTTCATTTCAGGACACAAGTGGTGCAGATTCACACATTTTATCTGAACATAGCAAGGGAAATGGCAAATTCTTCTAATAATGCAGGGTCATTCATAAGACCAAAAAAATGTTGGGAATGTAGGCTAGATGCCAGAGATTATTAGCTAATTTTAGCTTTCGGAGCCATAAATCTGCTGCCGTATCACTAGCTGTCAGCCCAGGAACTGATGTACTTCATTATTTTTCTGTTCTGGTTGAATTGGGCGTCATTGTTTGTTTACAGTACCGCAGAGCTCCAGAGAGCAAGGCAGAAGAATGTCGCCTGTCAATGGCCAGAGGCAGCTTATATTCAATTAGAATATTATTATAAAATGATGTAAATCAGCCTTTTATTGGGCTGTAAATTCTGTTCCACTGTTACATTTACCTTTTGGTGACAGCACAAAGACAGAGGGAGGAAGACAGAGTAGGTATAGGGTGAGAAGGAGAGAAAGGAACTTAAAACAGGCAAGCATAGACATGCAGTCAAAGTTAACAAAAGTTACAAAGCCAGGGTAGCTTCAGTCATTGATGTTGATTTTACTTTCTAAGTAGAAGATACTAATGGACATGAATGGTGCCGTTTAGGGTGTAATTCACATCATCTAAACAGGATGGTTTCAAATCTGTTCTCCACTTCTTGAGTTGTGTAGCTGACATCCTGTTCTCATTCTGCACAATAAAGGGAGAGTTTGTAAGAATTGGAAAACTTTAAGGTAAAGTGAAATCAGCTCTAGTACCAATTCGTTTTTCCAGGTGTTCGGAGTGGCACTGTGATTTTTCATGATGTGCTGCATGTTTCTCCTCTAATCTACTCTGCTACAAATTGTTCTTCAACTTACTTTTGAAAATTATAGTCAACACAACTGAGCCTTTGCCTCAAGTTTGATAACTAAAATGTCAATCCTAAAGGCACGTGTTATACACTGCAATAGGTCATCCAACTAATTAGTTTGCTTTTGGTGGTAACATTGTAACGCGTACCCAGTTGAATTGAAGCTTGCAAAGGGGAAAGGGATTGTATATGTTTGCAAGCAGCATACTCCATTAAAATCATGAATATTAACTGCAAGACACTGTATGACATTATGATTGGGAGCTGAGCCCCTATAAAGGTCTGATCATAGAAACGCCCCTGACTGGAACCCATACTGACCTAATGACCATCCATTCCTTCAGAGTCCTGCAGGAGGAAACCCTACAGTGACAAGAGGAAGGCAAGTGGCCATAATGCTTATCAGCCTGGCGTCTACTGTACAATTCCTACAGGACAAACTCAACCAGCAACAGTTTGGCTGGGGATTTATGCTAGCAGTAGCTAGTACAGCCCTGAGCCACTAGCCTCGAGCTGAGATGGAGGTGATGAGTGAGCTGCAGAGGTCTGGTCTTGCTCATTGCTCCAGACATTGTTGGTTTTCAAATGTGTAGTCCTCAGACTCAATTGACTCAACTGACATCTCCTGAGGGAATTATTAGATTTCATGGAGCTGGCTCCACAAGCATTGAAGACTTAACATTGCTTTTCCACATAGCTCATGCAATACCGCTTCCAAAGGCCCATTGATGGTGGGTAAAACTGGCAGAGTGCCTCTTTAAATTCCCACAAAATTTTGTATGGGGTGACTTGTTCTAGCATTAACACAATGTTTGGGCTTTCTCCTTGATTAAGAGGAAAAATCCTGTCCTGGAGACCAATGTTAATGTTAATGAAATAATCGTTATTACACTTCTAGTACTTCCATAAATTACTAAAGTCAGGATGGTTGCTCTCTGCAGTGAGCAAACACACACATAAGCAATGTTTCAGTTACAATATTAAAACAGATCTCACAAGCAAAGATCACAGGTCTGCAATGAGATAAAATATGTTTGACTGCACCTCTCACCTAATTACTCTGCAAACTCCTTAAGTTTGTCTTAATTATATTGATTAAAATATTAGTATTTCTTTCAGTTTGACTAAAATGTGCACTAAAATACAGAGCAGTTATTTCATACACAATAGTAAAATAATATTACTGCAAAGGGGGAAAGAAATAAACTAATGAAAACATTTTTAAACAAGTTTAAGTGGCAGTTTTACTCATATGGTCGGATCATTTTAATAATAATATCCTACTGACCACTGGTTTCCAACACACAGCAGGCTGCTTTGATTCTATGATTTTTAATAACAGTAATAACAGTGAACACATTTCAAAGTTGTAGGTGTAGAAAGAGCACTACTGCATTTTTAAAAACAAACTTCAACATTCCCATGCTGTCAAAATCTATTTTAATAATTCCTTGATCACTTAAAAAATATCTGTAGGTCTCCTTTTTGCTACATCTCAGACCTTTACGCCTCATTCGAAGTAGTCTGTAATCTTTGGGGCTGAATTTCCTCAGGCTAAACTGAAAACAAAAAGAGAACAAGGATGCCTTTAATCTTCCAATATTGCTTTTCCCCTACTTTGCTGTATTTGTCTTTCATGTTTTCGTAGAAAAAAAAAAGAGTATGTTTGGATAAAATGCTCTGTGAATCACATTTGCTGGTAAGACTTAAAATCCAGCTGTGCCCATAAAGCAGCGGCTCACGCAGAGTTTGATTTAAATAGCACACTGAAGTCAGAGCATGAGTTAAATGGCACAATATAAATGTGTGTCAATATCAATTTCCCTTTGCAGCTAAAAAAAAAACAGAATCAAAATGTAAATATATATTTTTAATGGAAGAAGATATT